ATTCAAGATCATACAAGAGGAAGTATTCTGGATTAGTAGTAGTACATTAAAATTAAACGCTTGGGTTTTAACTTGTCTTTTCATTGAAAATGTTAGGTTAAGCTAGACTTAACTTATTGTATAGATTCAGCTTTACAGAAACCTTTATCTTTAAATTGTTCTCAGCTCTGGGGTACTTCTGGGAAGGAAGTAAAAGTGTCTTTCAATTCCTCCTTCAATACTTGCAGGAAAAAAAGAAAGCTTGCTTTTAAGTAATTATCAAAATTTCACAGGGTACAGAATGTTTAAATTTGAATAGGTCCACTATGAAATTTACTGAAAACACGAGTATTTTGTCATTGTTCAGCATTTATATTGTTGATCAGAAGAACTAGCTTCTAGTTTCCATTATGGGTTACAGTTCAGTGTCTTTAAGAAAATGATTACAGCTCATGGAGCATTAATCATATTAAAACAAGGCATTTATAGTTTTTTAAGAATATAGATCCTGCAAACTCAGTTCTCTACAACACACTTCCCACTGTGAGAAAAACTTACTTTGCAAATTTTTTTAAGCATGTTTGAGCAAAATTACTAAACTTGAGAGATGAACCGTTTGTATCTTACTGGTTGGGTACATATTTTTGTTATGTAGGAAAAGTATGCAAAAAGTATGCATGATTAAGAGCTCTCAGCAAATACTTTTCAAGCCTATACTTAAAACAGGATCCTTAAGTAAACTTTACTATGTCTGCACAGCACTGCAGTATGTGGAAGCTGCACTTCAGCCCTGAGGAGCAGTTTAGCTGGGTTTGCAAGGCACTTTAACATTAAAAAGCAAAACAGACTCCACAGAAGGTGGGGTTTTGTTCATTAATTTTGGCATAACGCTAGATTGCTGTATGTATTCCAAGATCCAGGCTGACTCAGCTATTGCTGCCCAAAGATAATACTTTTCTGTGCAGCACTGCATGCCTTGCAGAAAGTAGGGAGCCGGTGTTTTATTATATGGCTCGTGCATGAAGGGTTATGTCTTCCTCCTGTTTGTTTAAAGCTCAAGAACTTGATCTGTTTTCCTCACTGGTATGCAAATTGTGTATCGGTGCTAATTAAATAGAAAGTACATACCTGTAAAGTTACAGATTTTTATTCAATTTCCATTATGTTATCTTGAAGAAAATTTGCATTAGTCAACTTTTCAATTTTAGTAAATAAAATCTGTAACTACTTGTAACATCTGTTGTACCGATGTTTGTGATTTTATTTGTTACTCACTGATTCAGAAACTGAAGCACACCATATAAGGCTATGACTAAACTGACATTTTCTTCTATACTGTAACTTTTCTCTGTAAAATTAAATGACTTTATGTATAAACTTACTGAAGTACTGAAGTATGAATATAAGCATTGCTGATCAGTGTGAAATGTAAAGCCTATGCTGCTGGTACAGGTTATTCTTTCACTGTAGAATGTTTAAATGTTGCCTTAAGCCAATCAGCAGCACTGCTTCTATATAGTGCCAGAAAAAGAAGTATTTTTTTTTAAAGTCAATTCTAAAGGGGCCCATCGAACACAATGGAAAGCAAAAAAAAATTTTTTTAAAAGGTATTAGATGTACTGGAGAAAGGAAGTATGTGAACTTCAATCAGTGCTTTTAAAATATTTATGAAATAGCAATTTTTTTTGGTCCATATAACTTGTTATTAAAAGAACTGGATGTGTGGAAACAGTTTCATACGTGCCCTTCCATTTCTATAAAGTGTTCATTGAAGCTGTAGAGGGTTTGTGGCAAGTGCTAATATTCTTGAGCTCAGCTAAAATCTGTGATCAGATCTCCGGTGAGTTCTTAAAATTTTTCATGTCCCTGTTACGGGAACTTTCCTGACAGTGTCATACCATCTCCCTCAACAACTTCTCCTGGAAAAAGTCTTTATGGCACCTTTTAAGCAGACCCATTCACCAATAAGATGTCAAGGTATGGTAGAACAACCCCCGAGGCAAAGAAACAGCATTAGAAATTTATTCAGAATATAAGAACATTTGTAAAATAAGTATTATAAATGTCTCTGTATAAATAAATGCAGTTTTTACAATTCTATATCAAATCAACACAAAATAGCTATTTTACAGCAGCTAGAAAACTAAAAAGCAGCAACACATTTAAAGCTAATTTGGTAAGGTGAAAAGTTTCTAGAATTAGAATGTATGGTACAGTATTAAAGGAAGAGAAAATCCCAATAAAACCAGTAGAACAATACTGATATTAATGCAAACTTAGTCACATGTGCTTTGCAATAGCTAACAGTACATTCAAGCTGGTGAAGATTTCTATATTTAATTGGAAAAAAAGTACTTTTTTTTCTGAACACACTGTGAAATACAAAGTTTCATGCACTCTGGTGACATAGAAAATCAAAAAACCACCCTAAGATTAATAAATGAGTGAACAACTTAGATTCTGTTGGCAAGAACCACCTATTTTTCTTGCTTTGCAAATGTAATATTTCTGCAACAAGTGTTAAGTGAGTTAGGTTGCTGTGGCTCAAGGTGATTTGCACACTCATCTATAGGCTGGTGTGCTGGTATTTCAAACAGTTGCATAAAAGGAGTTAGTTTTTTGGCATTTATTCTCAGGGTTGGTGCCATTTTAACAGGTACACCGGAACTGCAGCTAATTGTTAATATTAAACAGTTTTCACAATAACAGTAAACCTTTCACCAGTTCCCTGTTGGCCTTTTCCAGTACACCAACAAATGAAGCAGTAGCTGCTTGCTTAGGCAGAATAACTGGTGGTCAGGCAAACTATAGCTACTGCTGAGGCTGTATGATACCAGTCTTGCTTTTTCATCTACAAGCCCTATGGGAAGAAAGGGGGAGTGGCTTACATTTACTGATGATTTATAATGTATTCTAAAACACTTCTAGAGCACAGTTGGCAGGGAAGATATGCAGTAAATGTAGTAAAACAACGTTCAGTTTATGCAGTATCAGCAAATCGTTAGGCCTGAAAAAGGCACTGAGGGACACTGCAGCTTTTTATGCCTTTAAACCCAGGTGCATTTTATGCTTCCTTAATTTGTCTCTTTCCTTTAAAGACAGGTTTCAACTGAAATGCTTTAAGCTTCATTGTATTATGTTTTAACAGCTTCTCTAGCTACCAAGAAGTAGAAAAAATTGAGCCTAAGAGGAAATCCAGTGCAGTAGTGGTTTCTAGTCACCTTAAGTGAAAGGTATTTCACATGGACAGTTTGAGATGACCTCAATTTACAAGTGTTTCAGATGCAAGAAGACAAAACTGTAACTGCATTTTTGCCACAGTACACAGTGGATAATTTTTTTGTGTTTCTTCAGGAACAAGCGTGATCAGCTACCACTGACACTTACAGCAAAACCCCACATTCCTGTTGGTGAGAAACTTGGCCAAAAAAACCAGAAACACCATAGATATAGATACTTAGTAAAACCATAAAGGGAGTAAGAAATTAATGTGCCTGCTCCCTCAACAGACTGGTTTGCAAAAATTTCTATTTGCGTTATAAATTAAGAAGTGCAATTATTTTGAGAAAGAGGACTGATCAAAACCAATCCCAGGGCATTACTACCTACAACTTAATTTTGAAATCAGCATTGTTTTAACTTGCTATTGCAATCAATCACATATGATGTTGGCTTTGTAGCTGATATATTGGGCTCTAGAGAAGCAGGAATCACTACCCTAAGAAAAGAAGAAAACAGCAGCTACAGTAATAAGAGAGGTCATGAACACCAACTGCTACAGTTTCAGATGTAACCAAGACTTAACATTAACACCATATTCTGAACACAAGTTCCCACAACTATTTTGGCTGCCTGGCCTAACCCAAGAGTAGACAAAAATGGTTCAAGTTTTCTAAAAATATTTCCTTAGTACTAGAAATTGGAGGAGTAAGTAAGAAAAGTTATAATTCTAAATACACTAATAAAACTTGAGGTGCAACTCAACATGTAAAGCAGAAAGGATAGACAACTCCCGAAATCGAAAACAGAGCCTGAAAAATACAAAGTAGAGGTGTAACACAGTAACAGACTAACGAAGCTAATGGACTCTGTTTGGCATGTTAAAACAAACAAGGAAGCTGTTTTACATAGTCAAAAAGAAGCAAATTCTGAATGAAACAGGTGCTACAACAGACTCCTGTATTTTGCTCCCTAGAGAAATCAACCTGATCGTCGTGCTTTGCTTAATGTGCCTTACCATAATAGGCCAATGTTTTCAATTCAGTCAGTTTGATAATACAGTAACATGTATTAAACAAAAGAAGAGAATGTTAACAGTAACAAAATCTAACCTAAGAAGACTTCACCATTCACATTCTGTTTGTGGCTGTATATCCATATACCTACACATTTATAGTTTTGTGCCTATGTATTCAATATTAAACAGGTACATTCCTAATAAGTACCTTTTTTGGTCAAAATAAGTATAAAAAGAAGACATTCTACCTCTTGATCACAGAAAGCCGTAATAAGCACTACACACATGACAAAAATGGCCCAGCTTCTTAAAGAAAACCTTAGCTATAATGTGTTAACAAGAAAAATCAACTGTTTCACAGAACAATTGCAAGCACTATGCAATATAAATACCAGGAGGTCTCCTCTAATTTCTTACCCAACCTTGGCACAGACTATCTATCTGGCATGGTGAAACTCACAGCCTTTAGTCCTCTTACAAACTGTAAGAAATACACCATTATCATAGTTTTCAGAGATGCAACGAGGGTTTCTTTTTTTTTCCAAATCAACAGGAGTTTTCCTACCTGATCTGCACGGTGAGCAACAGTACTGCAAGTACGATGCAAAAAAGCAAGCCAACCTATCATTTCCCCATTTTGCAGCTGCCTATTTAGTTGATTTAACCACAGCAGCAAGTCTTGAGGGTACAATACAGAATCCTGTGTGCAGAGGGAGCTCAGGGATTGGAAAAACTCTCAAACTACCTCCAAACTGCCCAAATTAAAACCTCGTAACATGAATTATTTTTCTATGTGACACTGTCACCCATGAGACATACATAAAATGGAAAAGAAGCTGTATGAATATAGACATAATGACACAGACAACATACATAATTATAGCATGATAATTCAGGCACTGCCATTTTACATTACGAAACAGTCCTTAAGTTTAACACTTATATTATCCCCATGGCACCTCTCTGGGATCCCAGAGAAGGTGCTTAAGTGTGTCAGTGTTGACAGTCAGAGCTTTTAGTGTTTGAAGCTACCTAAAAGTCAGCCTCCAAAAGAAAGAAATTTGTAATGGCACTAAGCATCTTTGAAAGAGATGCATTTAAAGTGAAGTTTCATTGGTGTGTGGTCTAGAGTTCTCTTCTTCTAGTAAAGCTATTCTTTGTTTGAGCATCCTTACTTGTGTTTCATGTCTCTCCACCATGGCCATCATTTGCGATTCCAGTTTCTTCAGCTTATTTTGATGCTTTTTCTTTGCTTTTTCATAAGCTGCTACCAAGTTGCTGTAAGAAATACAAGGCAATACAAGGTCATTCGAAAAGCCTTGTTCACAGCAAGTGCCACAAAAATCCACTTCAAAAACCCACCTTCAGGGAATTCCAAAGTTTGGGTACTGATCATCTTCCTAAAATGTATGAGTGCTTTAAAACGCATTAGATCCAAACCTTATTGATCCAAACCCAGATCAATGCTAATCTCTGTATCTTTTTTCGGGCAAGTATGCACCTTTACCAGTAAACTGGTTACTGAAAACATTTTTAAACATAGTTCAAAGAGCCAGCAGGAGGTTGCTGATGATGACCTTGCCAAGCACTGTTTTTGAGTCAGGATACCACAACATGAAACATGTAATGATTTACAAAAACATTGCATGGCCAGAATCTGCTTACAAAATCCAGCACTGATTTTGCATTTTCCTTTTAAAAAAGTAACAGTTATATTCAGAGGATGGCATCTTGTGCTTATTTGTCAGCTGCTAAGTATCTTCTGTGCCTCCACCTTGACCCAGTAGGAAGGCTTGAGATGGGTACTGCTCCTCACCACAAGGGCTTTCAAGTATAATTTATTAATGAAAACTACATTGTGAGTGACAGGTTCCTTGCAGGAAGTGCAGCTACAGTCCATCATATTCTCAGTCCATCCAAACACAGCGCCAGTAAAATCTACTGGGTGAGCAATGAAATTTAAGTGTGATTATCAAAGCCAGTTTATTAATAAAGAGGCTTGAGCCAAAGAAAAGGGAGCAATTTTAAACATAATAGCAGATTCATAAATCTGACTGAATGGAGGTTTTTGGTTTTTTTAATAATAATGCATTTACTAGTAACTTAAGATTAACTTATTTCCCCCACTCTGTTCTTAGCTATGTAGTTTTTAGTGTCATACATGGGAGGTTTACACCTTCCCCATCTCTAACTATAACCTTAAAGAGTCAACTTACGTGAACACAACGATCCACAGACTGGTCATTAAGGTTGGGGGAGGATTACAATGCATTACCAGAACACAGCAAAAAAAAATCAATGGTGCATCCATCTGCTAGTAGATCCTTTACCTGTTTGCCCTTTTAAGGTCATTAACAAATTCTGCAGACTGCTGATGTCTGATTTCACTGCTCTTCGTGAGTCTCTCCAAAGCACTCACTAACTCTTGCACTCTAGTTTTCAGTTTCTTCTCCCTGGATTAGGAGAAAAGGAGGGAAAAAACTATTTTCAAAACAGAAATAACACTTCAGCTTGCAAGTGCATGAATGGTTGTCCTGTGCTGAGTTGACAGGCTGAAAGTATTTCCTTACTAATACTTGGATAATTCAGGAGGTAGTTCTTATATTAAGCTTTTCCACAGACTGATTTTTATAACATTCACCATTTTAGAATACAGGATCAGAGATGCAGCAGACAAAAGAGAAAACAAACTTCTTTGGTGGATCACGGTCTTGTATGTATCGAATCACACTAAGAAATAATCACAAAGACACATAAATAAAAATTTAAGAATATATATAAAGTAGATGCCACCTACTGTATCTTGAATGAGATAGTGAAGAAAACTACCAAAGGAGATCAAACATCATGGTAATCATACAGGAATTTTAATTAAAAATAGCATACTAGGATTGCTATTAAAGATAATTTACTAAACAAGTTTCTTTTTACTTTTTACTTAAAAATTACTACAAAATCATAGAATCATAGAATAGTTTGGGTTGGAAGGGACCTTTACAGGTCATCTAGTCCAACCCCCCTGCCATGGGCAGGAACATCTTCAACTAGATCAGGTTGCTCAGAGCCCCGTCCAACCTGACCTTGAATGTTTCCAGGGATGGGGCATCTACCACCTCTCTGGGCAACCTGTGCCAGTGTTTCACCACCCTCAGAGCAACTCCATTGATTTCAGTTACTGCCTCAAATTTACCTGAGTAATTTATACTACAGTCTGTATTACAGTAGATCACTAGATCACTAGTTTTTCTCAGGAGACTGCAAGTCCAGTCCATGTGGCAGTGGGAAACAGAAAAAGTTAAGAACAAGAGATACAGAAGAAGAGAGAGCACAGGCATTTTCTTCTACGAGGTACTCTTTTTCTTTCAAATAAGCCACAGTAGTGAGGTTTAAAATGCCGATATAGTTACCAATACTTACTTACCAATTATGAACCAAAAACTAATTACATGAAGTGTGCCAAAATGGAAGTAAGGTACCTTATAGTATTTTTATGTTAACAATATCTCTATGAGGGAAAGAAAAAGCAAACAAGGCAGAAGTTCTGGGGAGGAGTAAGCATTACAGCTTGGGGCTTAAGCTGCCTTTAGAAAGCATTTCCCAGTGCAGGCAGGCATGTGGCATGAGGCAGGTGCTTCTTCCCGGGGAGCCCTCTGCTCCAGAGCCGATGGCTGCCCACAGCTCGCTCCTATACAGACATGGGACTGTCCCACCTCTTGTGCAAGGGTGCTGATGTGGAGACCCAGGAGCCTTTCTCTGTGACCCATGCCCATAGCACAGACAGGCCAGAAAGAAAACCAACAGATTTGAAAATAAAAAACAAGGGGATAAGAATGACATGGAGCTGGGCTAAAGTGGGACAAAGTTAAATTCTGTATTGTTGAACCTTACACTTGGGAATTTTGCATGCATGGAGATATTTGTCTGTGCTTTGCTGCCTAGAACCACTTTGCAGCGATTTGCCCTTCCCTCCTGTTTTTGTTGCAGTGCTGCTAAGTGAATAAATTGGATTTAATCTCAACTACAAGACTACCACTACCTCCCACATAAGCCCACTGAGCCCCACGGGAATGAATACCCTGAAGTTTGTGAAAGCTTCCCCAGCTCTGCACAGACCACAGGGATGCTCCTCGAAACCCCGCTCACCAGCCTGCAGTTCCGAGGCTGGCCTGGCGACGGCAGCATTTTATAACCAGAGACAAGGACAGCACATGTGGCACGTTTCACTGTGCCCGGCTTCAGCAACAGAAGGGCTTTCACAAAGTCAGCCGGGGAAAGATTCCAAGTTAGCAGTTTATCCCAACACACTGCAGACTCTGGTTTACTGGCCAAATTAAAAAGGACATGAGAAGGGCCTCATTGATGAAGAATCATCAGTATTCTTTATGCGTCCTTTCATTGAAGTAACATACTCTCCGTTTTCAAATTACGCAATCTTTTTCCCCAGCGGTTAAAAGCTCAGCGCCGTCCAGCCCAAATACAAATTTTTTTTTTATATCTTATCTTAGCAGTTAGCAAGACTCAGCACAGTCTGCAGTCAAAATCTGTGTTCTGCAAAGAAAATAGGAACAAACAAAATCTAGTTTTTACTTGCAATAGAAGATAAATAAGAAAAGATCAGACTTGGCAGAGGCCAGACGCGTTATCTAACGTTTCTGTGGCACTACTGATATGACAGAACAGAGTAGCGTAAATTTGGTGCTTGTCTGTTCCAAAGGACGCCACAGCCAGAGACCCCGGGGAAGGTTCAGTAGCACCGTGCTCAGCACTGCGACCTAGCACGAACAGCAAGTCCAATGGAATAAACATTCGCAGTATTTGGATTGGGAGAGAAAACTAAAAATCACATGGGGTTGATTTAACGTTACGTGCAAGAAAAGATATAGCTGTGAAAATACTGCACACAGTCCCATGGGAAAGAACCCTGTAGAGCCACAGTTTACTGCAGCTGAAGTCCTTAACACACCTGCTGTAACGAAAGCTGCGTGGAAAAGAAACACAGTGGAAAGACTTGGAGGAACTTGTCATGCATGGTAAAGTTTGGTTGCTACGGTTACTGTTACCTGATAAAACTATTACATCACCTTTTGTCTGTTTTTGCACTCATACCTTTCAGTCAGTCATGTTTGGTCCAAACTCAGCTAAATGTCAGGAGGTATTTCTTTACATTTGGCCTATAACATCCTTGTCTTGCTGCTTGCCAAAGATACAGAGCCAGCAGAGTGGTAAACACCCTGGGCCTCCACAGGCTAGTTAAACAACTTTCAGATGCTAGTTCTGAATCATCTAGCTAAACGGGTAACAGTGGGTAATCCTTCAAATCTATAGATGCCTCAAATTTACATTTATACCAGTAAAATGCATGTATTCCCTGAGCTGACCAGATCCACACAGTTCTTTTGGCTTTTCTTGATGTCTTGAAGTCAGTGAAAACAGCACTAGCTAGTGCCTACTCCCACCTTAATCTCAGGGAAAGCAATGGGCGGTTTGATTGCATGTGCTGAAATGTCCCAAAATCTTACAAAAACAACACACAGTGATCTACTTTTACACTTACTGTTCCCGATTTAAAACACGCCTACCTAAATAGCTTTACTTCAAGAGGCATTTCATAGAACAAGTAACACCTGAGGAGACAGACATAGCAGCAACAGTAAAGGTACAGTAAGTACCTTGTTTTAGTCTGGGAAATGGAGATGCATATACACTTGGTTAACGACTATTACGTGCAAAAAACATGTAAGGTTTTCCCTGGAGTGCTGCGCCTTCTATTTTAGTAGCAGATGAGAGACCTCAGAGCTCTACCTTACTGGCTGGCCAGCAAATGCTCTGTCGCTTTGTAAAAATCCCTTGCCTCATAATGCTAACTCGTCCCACTTCCCTCCATTCCTATCACTAATTACCTCAGTTTGGACAGAAATAATTGTTCTTATTTGCACCTCTCCAAAACTGACTGCTTAGTTGGGCAGTGAATGGGAGTGATAATGAATCCTGAGGTGCTATTTGCATTCCTTTAATGCATTACAGGGTTAGCTGTCTTTACGGGATTTCTAGCACCACTTCACTTTCCTGATTGCTATTATAAATCAGCAGGATATGAAGAATCAGCCACTACAGGCTTAATAAGACAGAATATTTTAAAACAATAGTCCTAGTCATATGCAGCGTTTTTCCAGGATGAGAATGCGTCAAAGCTGCGAACCAGGGATGGAACTGCATTTGATGCGACAACCATACAAACATCCTCCCGACAGGGATTGCCGTATGGCTGTGGCTGCCAGACAGTCTTCCAGAGTCTGAAGAGCAAACACGCACAGAAGCTTACACGCCAAATTCACACTCCTATCGTGGCCCAGGGCTGTAATACAGACCAGAATGGATCCTGAGAAAGGATTTATATGTGTATTTTGATGGGAAGAGGGAAGGAGAAGCAAGCATTTTTAGAAGAACACAATTTCTCCCCAAGCCACAGGTCAGTTGGACCGCAGAAGTCAGCACAGCTTTTGCTCCCCACAGTTCCTCTTCCAACCAGCTACTGCTCCTGCAGTGCAGAAAACACAGCCGCAGCACCTTGTGCGCACACGGAAAATGAGCACGTATTCCCAGAAGAGGGAAAAGCTTACGATCTGAGGGCATGGCTCGCTTCCAACGCAAGGGCTCTCTGCTGCGGGGCAGTCGAGAGTCAGCTGGGGAAATCCCCGACTGCTCCCTTTCCAAAGAAAAGCTCAGAATAGGTGTATTCAGGGGCCTACAGCCTAGCCCAACATAAAACCACTATTTTCAATGAAATGCCTAACATGCTGGTAACAAAGACTTTTGTTTCGTATTTTCACAATCAAAACACTCAGTTGCTAAGCGGTTTTCAAGGGCTTTTTGTTTCAGACTTACAGGATGGTTTGAATAGGAAGGCAGGCGGACAGGGCCTAACGTTTCCTCTGGTTTCAAGGCTACCGCTGCAGAGAGGAGGGAATTCTGCCAGAGCCGTAGAGGAAACTATATAACATCGGGCACATTTCTGCAGTTTCTGTCAATTTGGCCTCCACACAATGACACCACGTTTGGCCCAGAATAATGTAAGCAAGGTCTTGCGCACCTTGTATTTTCCCTCCTGTCTGGGCTTTTCCAGACATGTTCAGGTTTCATATGCCAGAAGTCTTCCCAGGCAGATTTTCCTGCCCTTGGTCATTTCATCGAGAATTCCCCAGTGCTGCAAACAGGAAGCTGCTCTTCCCTGGCACGCAGAAAGTTGATTTTTCTGGCTTGAAGCGTACCCAGCTAATTCCTCCTCTTGTGAAAGCACAAACTATCGCCCCTCCGCCCTGGGGTCACGAGCACCCACAGCTCTTGCCAAATCTGGAGCAAAAGAGGAGTTATGAGCTCTCTCCAAAGCAGGAGGTAAGAAAGTTTCCCACAGCCGGGCAGAGGAGTCAGGGGCCTTTGGGGCCTGATTATCCTG